GAGAGGCCGGCAGTCCCTCCAGTTGCGCTGAGCATGGTACAAAGCATGGTAGGTGCGGATAGATAGCACTCTGTCGTTCGTGTGGTGAGAAACATGTTGAGTTGTTGTTCTTCGGAAGCCCGAGAAGATAAAAATCGAGTCACCACTGCTGCTGTGTGCATGTCTTCGCCCCCCGCGCCCATCGCCATGGTTAGGACATCATAACCTCTGGCGTACACCGTCCTCGCAATTACAGCATCACCCAGTCGCCCGATCTCTTTGCTGACCCGCGCTGACTACCCTATAGATATGTTAGGCGGGGCTGCCAATTAGCGTGGCCGGTAGTAGTGGAGGCTTGTGTCTGGCGAACAGGTCGAGGGTACGGCGGCGTAGTAACGCAAATTGGAATCCCGCTCAAACGAGTTCGAATGTGGTATACACTATGTACTGCAGTAGTAGAAGCTTTGGCCATCCTGTCGGTTCCTTCGCAAGACGTCCCGAGCACATGCACGATTGAAAAAGCACAGAGTCTCACACCCGAAGGGCAGTAGCGAGCAACCTTCTGCTGTAAAACAGCATGCCGCAGCAAAGAACTCCGTGCTCTTGTCGAAGGTACAATCCCACGTGTACGCTACAGGCTTCGCCCAAAGGACAGCCAACCTCCTCACGTACAACGCTTGTTTTCGTTGGAACGGAGCACCAATTTTTTGCGCATCAAGTACCAGGGGCGAACGTTATGCGCGGCAGTCCCAAGAAAAAGATTGAACAAGGATGCCCGAGAGCCTTCCGGTTCGCGTTTTTCTTGATGTTCTGGTGTATATGTGGGTGTACAGCAGTACAAGTCTACAGCAGTACATGATCGTGACCCTTATTATTGCGGGGTTATTGCCTCACTCCCTTCGATGTTTGGTACAGTACTCTCATCGATACGGCGTCCATTGTTTTTCGATTGGTATGGCGTTTGCCCCGTAGTTGACGGCTATTGTGTTCCTGGGACCGCGCCATTGCTGCTGCTTGATTGCGGTGGTACCAACACAACAATCGTGTTTTTCCCGACACGATGTAACTTGTGAATGAATGATACCTTGGATGAATGAATGCATGATGGAATCGTTGCAACATCATTTCCAATGCCCATATCACGGATACGGCACCGAGTTAGAAGCCGCTGCCTGTGCTTAGGAAGTTTGACAATATGGGTCTGTGACAACTGCTCGTGCCCAGTCCGTCGAAATAGCAACGGATGCCGAGAGGGTACAGAGAGAGAGAAAGAGAGATAATGGGGAAGCGAGCCTCCCCCCTCGGCATCCCATGAGATAACTCTCTTGCTCTGACGGATTGCAACCACCAACTCGCAAAAAACACTTGACACAAGAACTCGCTAAACGCCCCGCATGATGCATGTGTCTGCTGCTCCCTGCGGACTGGTTGGTTCGGCGGTCATTGGCTCTTGGCTCGAAAGACCGGCTTGGCAGGAGTACTTGAGCGGAGGGACTTTGAGCTCTTTGTTGAGAGAGCACAGGGAGAAGCCCATGAGAATTTCCAAGGTGCGTACAGTCGTGGTGTTGTCTAAACCTCAGCCCCCACCTCGCATGTATATCGTATTCGTTCATGCGCAACAAAATAGATTCTGGTCACAACAACAACCACAACGACAACAACAAAAATAATAACAATACAACAGGTGCTCGACCTGTCGCTGGCGTTGTGTAACGCTTTGGAGTACCTCCACGCTGTGGCGGTGCCTGGACGCATCGTGTGTCACCGAGACCTCAAGCCGGACAACACCGGTTTCGCGCAGGATGGCACGATGAAGCTCATTGACTTCGGACTGGGAAAGGTAATGACACAACTTTTTTTTCGTACCTATCTAAATGTAAAATGTGTAACCGTGCGTTTACCGACATAACATGGTGGCCTGCTGTTGTATGTCATTGGGAAGAATACGCGTGACAAACGCTTGACTACGCTGTTGTCCAGCAAACCGGAAGCAAGAGACGGGGCATGGCGTCTGTGTGTGGAAGTTTCCGACAGTTCAGAAAGGAGACAAAGCGATGTGTACAGAGAGGCTGATCTCTCCTACCGCTGCACGCAGCAGCCGAGATCGACGAGATAAATGCAAGACCTCGACGTGTATGTGTAGATGTTGTCTTGACAGAAAGTTGAGAGGTGGTAGAGACACATCACACAGGTAACATTCATACGTTGCTACGCCACATTGATGCACAGCACCGGCATTCCCCTCTCTACGCTTGCGCAAGTGTCCAGTGTGTAACCTGTTCGACCTGTTCCCTGCTCCTCGTTCACGACTCGTTTGCTTTTTTTCTGAACAATTGCAAACAGACACATATCCCTAAACTCGCTCGTGGCTCCTCTTCTAAGATCAATTCCGTGAGAACTATTTTCCTATTCACCGCTGCTGCTACTGATCAACACCACCTTTCGAACCCCACACCATCTCGTCAACCGAATGTGTTGTGTTTCTGCTCTGCATACAGGCAACCCACGGGCCCGTACTTCCACCAGGATTGGGCGATAGGGAAAAACTGGATGAGGGGGGGGGGGGGGGGGGGGGGGGGGGGG